GGCCCTGGGGGAGGTGCGCGCGTGCGGGGCTTCCCTGCGGGGGAGTGGGTGGTCAGCCCTGGGGCAGGCATGCACTGGTTTCCCTCGGGGGGGGGCAATCCTGGGAGGAGGCAGATGCAGGGGACACTCTGCCTCCCCTGTCCTCACTCTGTCCCCACTCCCCTGTCCCCAGCCACAGAACGCTCTCCTTACTCCCCTGTCCCCAGCTACAGAATTCTGTCCCCGCTCCCGTTACCAGCTACAGAACTCTGTCCTTATTCCCATCCCCACTCCCGAACTCTGTCTCCATGGCACCCTGTCTCCTGCTGCAAAACCCTGTCCTCTCCCCTGCCAGCACCCTGTTCCCTCTCCCCGGCCCCCTGCCGCAGAACTCTGTCCCCACAAAATGTATGATTGTAAATGCTTCATTTTAGATTTAAATAGCATGATTAAAAAACAGACCATTTATTTCATAACTATAAACACGTGATTTTAATTTTATTTATCGCATAATTTAAAAATAAACTGTTTTTCGTTGGCTGCGTCTAGACTGGCATGATTTTCCGGAAATGTTTTTAACAGAAAAGTTTTCCGTTAAAAGCATTTTCGGAAAAGAGCATCTAGATTGGCACGGATGCTTTTCTGCAGAACCACTTTTTGCGGAAAAGCATTGGTGCCAATCTAGACGTGCTTTTCCGCAAAAAAGCCCCGATCGCCATTTTCGCGATCGCGGCTTTTTTGTGGAAAACAAATCTCAGCTGTCTACACTGGCCCTCTTGCGCAAAAGTTTTGCACAAAAGGACTTTTGTCCGAACGGGAGCAGCATAGTATTTACGCAAAATGCACTGATTTCTTACAGTAGGAAGTCAGTACTTTTGTGGAAATTCAAGCGGCCAGTATAGACATCTGGCAAGTTTTTCTGGAAAAACTGGCCAGTCTAGACACAGCCAGAGTGTGTAAGTAAGGGCTGGGGATAGCAAGTGATGGACAGGAGGAGACTAGAGAGGGTGGGGTGGTAGATCTTCGCCTGTTCTGATATTTAAGAAGTGATCTTCAGTGTAAAAAGGTTGGAGACCACTGTTATAGACTAACAAAACATGTAGATGGTATCATGAGTTTTTGTGGGCACAGCCCACTTTTTCAGATGACAAGCTATTCACTGTGGGGTTTTTTCTCTCTCTCTCTTTTTTTTTCTCCTCAGCCCCCTCTTCCCTTATTTATTCTTGGATCTGGACTTTTAATACTCCAGTCATCTGAAGAAGTGGGTTTTGCCCACGAAAGCTCATGATACCATCTACATGTTTTGTTAGTCTTTAAGGTGCTACTAGACTATTCATTGTTTAAGTTTTTCTAGTTACAGACTAACTCAGCTACATCTTTGAAGCTATAATTTTCTGGTCTAGAAAGAAAGTATCAGCATGCAGCTTTCTGTACGGACAACTATTCCTGTATATGCATGCATCATCCACCTTTTTAGACCACCCTGCATTTATGTATGTGAAACTCAAAAAACCATGGAGAAGTACCCATTTCAATTGATGTACTCTGAGGCAAAGTGGGGTGGCACCACAGTGGGAATACTTATGCCATTCATTTCCCTGCCACAGTTTGGAAAGCCCATTTCAGCAAAACTATTCAGCATGTCATCCTCATTTCCCAGAGTGACAATTCTACACAGCAAAATGTGATTTGTTGCCTTGCATAAGTCCTGCCCTGATTGGTAGACTTCCTCACTGATTTTATTAAATCTGTGTAATTCCTTTGTATAGAGACACTTATACCAGTTTAGAGTAATATCAGCTCAGTTTAAGTAATAAAGGCCTGAATCTTCCTGAACTTCCTGGCTTTTTGAGGGGTAGCCGAGTTAGTCTGTTATAGGGGGAAAAAAATAGCAAGCAAATGGTCTGGTAACACTTTATAGACTAACAAAACATGTAGATGGTATCATGAGCTTTTGTGGGCACAGCTCACTTCTTCAGATGGCTGGAGTTATGGTGAGTGCTATGCACCTTCACTGCAGCTCAGTTGTCTTAACAAATTAAATTCCATGTATTAAAAAAAGGTAACTTGAAAATGCAAGTCTTGCCTCCTCCAGTCAATGTTTTAGGTTTGTGAGCTGATGACGTTTCAATATCCACAAGTGTGTTCTCAATACTTTTACTTGTCCTGTAACTTAAATCCAAGCTGTGCCAGTTCAGTTACACTGAAAGTTGATGCCCTGGCACCTCACTTGTTCAGTAGCTAACTTGCTTTTTAGCCTCTTACATCGTCTACTCTATTAATTTTGAAGCATCAGGCTCTTGTTTCCTCCTCTGCATAACTGAATCCTTGTAACCTCTCAAAGCATTACAAACCTTCTTTTTATTTGCGTTACACTATGCAGTGTTGAATCTTCCACTTTCTAAATGGTATTTTGCTAAGATCTTTCCAGCTAGAGTATTTTAACAGCTTCCAGTTTGATTAGTCTGCTTACTATCCTTAGATCAGCGATTGGTTACAGGTGTGTGGATGACAGTCTCTTTAGCAGAACATTATTTTCAAATGGAAAAAGCAGAATAAATTGCTTATTTTATAGATTCGGAATGCATGTCTCTCCAGAAAATGGTTGTGTGAATTTCTGTGCTCTGATGGAGGAAAGAGCCTGCGTTTTTTGGCATCTTTTTTTTTTTTTCAAAAACTACTTGTCGTTGTTGTTGTTGTTTTTCTAGATTGTTCTGACTTGAATCTCTCAGTAGCAATTAGGCCAAACCTCTGTGGTTTCAAGTTTCTGGCTTTGTCAGGAGGACTGCAGAATCCTATCAAGCTATAAAAAGGAAGCTTAAAGTTCTACTTGTCTTTCAGCTGAAGGACTTGCATTTCCTGTGACAGCCTAACAGCTCTCCATTCAGTTTTATCAGAACTTGGCTTTGCATAGCAAGCTTCTTGGTTTACTTTTAAGCAAGGATGCTGAGAAGGGAGCTACCTTGTTACTGGATGATGACCTTTTCTAGGTGACTGCAGGCTGCTGTAGCCCTTCTGCTAGGAGTTAGGACCTATGTCTTGTCTTCCTGCACTCTTAAGCAATTAGCATCCCCCCACTGCATAGGGCACAGAACTGGGATTCATCACTAGATTCTGTTCTTGGTTCTGTTGCTGACTAATACGCTTTGCCACGGTTTTCCAATCTGTAAAATAGGGAAAAGGATATCTTCTTTTGAAAAGTACTTCAATATGTATGGATGAAAAAGCAATAGAATAGCAATGTGTAAGAACCCCAGGAAGTAGTAAAAGTTGGACAGATAGTGGCACATTTACCTTCTTTTCTCTCCTTTAATAATACCATAGACCAAAAGTACCACTTAGTGCTATCCTTCAGATGAAACAATAAACAGAACTCCCTTTTGCCCAGAACTACCGTATTTATTCGTGTACCTATGTAAATAGGAAATATTTTTAAAGATCCATGAAACTGACAGAAAAACCCAAGTGTTAAAAGAATGTATTTACAGTTAAATTTTAAATACTTCAAAATAGACTGGAAATAAGTTAAATACACGCAATGTAATAAAACATACTCAATGAAACAATTGGTGTCTTTTAAAAGTATATCTATCCTGTAATAAAAGAACTGCCATAAAGTAGCTTGTGGTCTGAGTTAGCTGCCTCCATTTGTGAGGCTGCAAAATTGCAGTGTAGGCATTTGAGGTCAGGTCTGGGCTCCAGCCCAAGCCCAAACATCTATACTCCAGTTTTATAGCTCCTCAGCCTGAGCCAGCCGAACCTGGCAAGCTGCAAGTTTTTTTTATTGCAGTGTAGACATAACCCTAAAATGCTTGTTAAAAGGATCTTTAGTGTATAATGGTAGGTAGAGTTCTAAAAGTTAATTCTTGTATTCTGTATATTAAAAAAATGCATATAATTGACTTCTTACTAATGGATGGTTTTAGTTTTATATATTTGTGACATCAGAAAAGTTGAAAAATTGGAAAACTTGATTTCAAAATTAAACCAATCCAAACTTGTGATTGGGACCCTGGAAGCATGGCAGGAGAAGGTGATACACTCGGTTAGTGGGGTGAATTTTTAAGTGTGATAATGGGTTGCCACAAAGTGCACAAACTCACTGTGCTGTTCCATTCTGAGACTGAAATCTCCTCGCTCTGTGGGGTTTTTTATAGACCTCCGTGTGGTTATTAATCTTATGTACACTTGGGGAAAGTCAGTAATAAGGAATGTATAGAAGACTCATGCAGTCACTTGGGTTCTGTCCCATTTAATTTTAAAATGTGTATTTTCTGTCTGAATATTCTTTATTCTGTACTATTTGAAATACAGTATTTGAAAAGGGCTATTCTTAGTATATCATTAATCTGCAGAAAGTGCCTGCTCCAGCACTGCTTCTGCCTCTTAAAACACTCTGTACAACATTAAAGTAAACAAATTACTTGGCAGGGGGAATGATGGTAGCATTCCTGAAGGAATGTATGGCCTTTTTAATACTTCACAAGTAAAGAACTTTGAGTAATATTTAATACGCTTCGCTTTTAAAATCAGTAAGTCTTAATTTGAATATTGTAGCTTCCATTTTTGTACTAAATTCTCCATTTGGTAATTTGACAAATGATTTACATATGCTGTAATTTTTGAAACTGTATAATGCTAGACTTCATAAGATGAGCCATTTAATACCCCTCAAAAAAACGAAGATTCAAAAAGCAAACTAATCTATTTTTAATCTTCCCCTCTCTTTTTTTTCATTAGGCGTCTTGGTGCTGAGTTGGGAAAATCTGTGGTGTACCAGGAAACGAATGGAGGTCAGTCATTGTTACTGTGTTAACAAGCATGTCTCACTAATTAAACTTAAAAATGTACTAGTGGTAAATCTGCTTACCAAACTTCTGTAATAAGTCAGGAGCTCATTCCTATTCCTGCCTCTGATAGACTTCCTATATGACCTTAGGAAAAGCAATAAATTGGTCACTGCCTCAGTTTCCCCATCTATGAAAAACTGGATGATCTCTCTATCATTGCTGTTGTCTCTGTGTAGAAAGAATGCTAATTCAAAGAGTTAACAAAGAGGGCCCTAGACATTACATAAGAATGGCCAATATAGGTCAGCCTGATGGTCTGTTTAGCCCAATATCATGTCTTCCCACAGTGGCCAATGCCAAGTGCGTCCGAGGGAATGAACAGAACAGGTAATCATCATATGGTCTGCCCCTCTTGCCCATTCCCAGCTTCTGGCAAATGGAGCCTAGGCACTAGAGGTGCTTCAGAGCATGGGTTTGTATTCTGGCTAAAAACCATTGATGGATCAATCCTCTGTGAACTTTCCAGGTTCTTTTTTGAATGCAGTTCAACTTACTTAAATGTATTTGGGCACTTGTCTTCAAACATCTGAGTGCTTTGTTGGAAAAAAATATTTATTAGCCAAAAACAGCCCAATGGTCTAGGTGCAATTTAGCATTTCAGTTCTCTTCTGCCATTCTTACAGAGGAATAAGTAGAAACAGGAGGAATAGTTAAGTGGAAGTCTATACAAGGAATTTCAAAACTGGAGAGGGACTCTGATGAATTGTTACAAAAAAGGCTCACATTGGAGGAATTTCTTATCTGTGAGGGAACCTGGCCCACATCAGAATGATGGGACTCTGTTCCAGGCACAAGGATTGTTAGGAAGAGATGGGATCCATGTAACAGAGAGAAAGGAGCATCTTCGCGTGCAGGCTTGCAAACCTAGTGAGGCGGGCTTTAAACTAGGTTCGTTGGGGGACGGTGACCAAAACCCTGAGGGAGTGAGGAAGTCGGACACCGGGAAGAAATGCAAAGAGGAATGAGCAACAGCAGAGGACCCATGATTCGAATGCAGAGGGTAGGGTGATCAACTGGTTATATAAGGTGTTTGTACACCAATGCAGGAAGCTGGGTAACAAACAGAAGAATTGGATGCCCTGGCCCAGTCCAAGAACTACGATTTGATTGGGATAACAGAGACTTGTTGGGATGACTTGCATGACTGGAGCGCTGTCATGGAAGGGAATAAACTGTTCTGGAAGAACAGGCAGGGGAGGAAAGGAGGAGTTGTTACACTGTAAGTAAGAGAGCACTTTGATTGCTCAGAATTCCAGTATATAGAAGGAGGAAAGCCTGTGAGAGACTATGGGTCAAGTTTAGAGGTGTAAGCAACAGCAGTGATGTTGTGGTTGGTGTCTGCTACAGGCCGCCGAATCGGGTGGATGAGGTAGATGAGGCTTTCTTTGGACAACTGAGAGAAGTTTCCAGATCACAGGCCCTGGTTCTCATGGGGGACTTGAATCACCCTGACATCTGTTGGCAGACCAATACGGCAGTACATAGACAATCCAGGCAGTTTTTGGAGAATGTTGGGGATAACTTCTTGGTACAAGTGCTGCAGGTACAAGCAGCTTGACCTGCTGCTCACAAACAGAGAGGAGCTAATAGGGGAAGTAGAGGTGGGTGACAACCTGGGAAGCAGTGATCAGGAGATGGTAGATTTCAGGATCCTGACCAAAGGAAGAAAAGAGAATAGTAAAATACACACCTTGTTAGCATGAAGAAGGTGATCAGAGAGGGTATGGGACCCCTACTGGATGAGGGCAGTAATCTAGTGACAGATGATGTGGGGAAAGCTGAAGTACTTTCTTTGCCTCTGTCTTCACGGACAACGTCAGTTCCCAGACTAATGCGCTAAGTGACGCAATATGGGACAAAGGTGGACAGCCCTTGGTGGGGAAAGAACAGTTTAGGAACTATTTAGAAAAGCTAAATGTACATAAATCCATGGGTCCGAACTTAATACATCCGAGGGTATTGAGGGAGTTGGCAAATGTCATTGAGCCACCTTTGGCCATTATCTTTGAAAAGTCATGGAGATCAGGAGAGATCCCGGATGAGACTGGAAAAAGGCAAATGTAGTGCCCATCTTTAAGAAAGGGAAGAAGGATGATCCAGAGAACTATAGGCCAGTCAGTCTTACCTCAGTTCCTGGAAAAATCATGGAGGGGATCCTCAAGGAATCCATTCTGAAGCACTTGGAAGAGGTGAAGGTGATCAGGAATAGTCAGCATGAATTCATGAAGGGCAAGTTGTGCCTGACTAATCTGATTAGCTTCAATGATGAGGTAACTGGCTCTGTAGATATGGGGAAGTCAGCGGATGTGATATACCTTGACTTTTGCAAGGCTTTTGATACGGTCTCCCACAATGTTCTTGCCAGCAAGTTAAGGGAATGTGGACTGGATAAATGGACGGTAAGATGGATAGAAAGCTGCTTGGAAGGTCGGGCCCAGCGGGTAGTGATCAACGGCTGGATGTCAGGATGGCGGTCGGTTTCTAGTGGAGTGCCTCAAGATTCGGTTCTGGGACCAGTTTTGTTCAACATCTTTATTAATGACCTGGATGAGGGGATGGATTGCACCCTCAGTAAGTTTGCAGATGACACTAAACTAGGGGGACAGGTAGACACACTGCAGGGCAGGGATAGATTCCAGTGTGACTTAGACAAATTGGAGGATTGGGCCACAGGAAATCTGATGAGGTTCAACAAGGACAAGTGTAGAGTCCTGCACTTGGGACAGAGGAATCCCAAGCATTGTTACAGGCTGGGGGCCAACCAGCTAAGTAGTAGTACTGCAGGAAAGGACCTGGGGGTTACAGTGGATGAGAAGCTGGATATGAGTCAACAGTGTGCCCTTGTAGCCAAGAAGGCTAATGGCATATTAGGTTGCATTAAGAGGAGCATTGCCAGTCGATCCAGAGATGTGATTATTCCTCTTTACTTGACTCTGGTGAGGCGCATCGGGAGTATTGTGTCCAGTTCTGGGCCCCCAATTACAGGAAGGATGTGGATGCATTGGAGAGGGTCCAGCGGAGGGCAACCGATTACGGGGCTGGAGCATATGAGCTACGAGGAGAGGCTGAGGGAGTTGGGAGTTTACTCTGCAGAAGAGAAGGCTGAGGGGGGATTTGATAGCAGCCTTCAACAAGGAACAGTGGTCTCAAGTTGCGGTGGGAGAAGTCCAGGTTGGATATTAGGAAAAACTATTTCACTAGGAGGGTGGTGAAGTACTGGAATGGGTTACCTAGGGAAGTAGTGGAGTCTCCATCCCTAGAGGTGTTTAAGTCTCAGCTTGACAAAGCCCTGGCTGGGTTGATTTAATTGCGATTGGTCCTGCCTTGAGCAGGGGGCTGGACTTGATGGCCTTCTAAGGTTTCTTCCAGCTCTATGGTTCTATGATTCTTGCAAGGGAGCAAGGACCAGGCAGCTGACCTCAGTTGCCATGTGATACATGTGATTTACAGTGTTATAAGTACCTCCAGTTCTAGGATCGTTTATATGCTTTATATATTAGCAGTAAGACCTTGCAGCATGTTTGTTGGAAAGTGAGGAAAATTCAGACAGTTTTGCACTGAAGAGCCGTAGAAGAGTGCTCATTCAGTCCTGAGCAGTCAAAACAGAGATATTTTAAGCTGTTTGGATGTTAGTTTCTGCTCTTGTATAGTTATAGATCATCATTAATAACTCTTTGTGCTTTCAGGTTTTGCTCTTGGCTCCAGTCTAACTTATGGTGACTGATTGGCTCTTTCTTCAGGAGTCTTGACTTGTGCTTGCTGCCTTTTGAATTTACTGGATTGTGGATATAACCTTTAAATTGGGGTATTTGATTCAGGGTGCAGGTTCATCCTTCACTGTATTTCTTACAAAATACAGGACTATGTAGCACTTTAAAGACTAACAAAATGGTTTATTAGGTGATGAGCTTTCGTGGGCCAGACCCACTTCCTCAGTTCAAATAGTGGAAGAAAATTGTCACAGCCATATATACCAAAGGATACAATTTAAAAAAAAATGAACACATATAAAGAGGACAAATCAAATTTCAGAACAGAAGGGAGATGGGGGGGAAGGTAAATGTCTGTGAGCTAATGATATTAGAGGTGATAATTGGGGAAACTATCTTTGAAATGAGTAAGATAATTAGATCCTTTATTCAGACTCAGGTGTAAAGTGTTGAATTTTAGCAATGAATAACAATTACATACAATTCATTAATGTCTTTTGAGCTAGCTCCCTTTCAGTTGTCACAAGTAGGGATGTTAAATTGCAGTTATCAGACTAATCATGTAGTCAATACAATTTGTATCGACTACATGATTAGTCAATAAGAACTCTGAAGAGATGCAGCAGAGTCTCTGCCGGTTTGTGCTGGCTCAGGGAGCCAACTGTGCTGTGGCTCTGCATTTTAAATGTAGTAAGAGCCTGGTGCAGCCTCTGTTTGTGGCAGCCAGGGTTGGCTGCTGGCAGGGGCTGCTACAGGAGGAACCCCTGACTGCAGCCAGCCATGTCCTCTACGAACAGAGGCTGCTCCAGCAACAGACCCTGTTCACAGCGGCCAGGGCTGGCTGTGGCTAGGGGCTGCTGCCAGAGTAGCTCCTGCGTGCGGCCAGCCCAGCCACCGCAAATAGGGACTGTTTGGCGGCAGCAGTCCCTGTCCATGGGGGGCCCCCACTCACTGCTGGGACTGCCCGCAGACAGGCTGCTGCCTAAGCAGCCTCTACCCATGGCGACCCTCAGCCCACCGCGGGCAGAGGCAACTTTGCAGCAGCCTCTTCTATTCCCCCCTCCCCTCCCACTATCTCTGATAGTCAGCGGGGGGACGGGGGACAGGCAGCACCAGCTCCTGTTCCACCCGCGCCCCCCCCCCTTGCTACCTCTCGGAAAGGCAGCAAGTAGTTGATACTCAGTTGACTTTTAGCTAACATCCCGGCTGTGTCTACATTGGCAAGTTGTTCCGGAAAATCAGCCGCTTTTCCGGAAAAACTTGCCAGCTGTCTACACTGGCCACTTGAATTTCCGGAAAAGCTCTGACGATCTAATGTAAAATCATCAGTGCTTTTCCGGAAAAACTATGCTGCTCCCGTTAGGGCAAAAGTCTTTTTCCGGAAAACTGTTCCGGAAAAGGGCCAGTGTAGACCGCACAGTAGTGTTTTCCACAAAAAAAACCCCGATCGTGAAAATGACGATTGGGGCTTTTTTGCGGAAAAGCGCGTCTAGATTGGCCACGGACGCTTTTCCGGGAAAAGTGCTTTTCCGGAAAAGCGTCCTGCCAATCTAGACACGCTTTTCCGGAAATACTTTTAACGGAAAACCTTTTCCGTTAAAAGCATTTCCGGAAAATCATGCCAGTGTAGACGTAGCCCCCTAGTCACAATTGCCCAAATAATTGGACTTTGAATTTTGCAAACCTGCTAAACTTCTCCCACCTTTCTCCTCTCCCCTTCCCAGCAACTTAGTTTCTTATTTTATCATGAGTCTATGGAAAATGAATACTTGACAATTCTTCATGCTCTGGTGGTAGTGTTCTGGATTGCAGAGCTGGTTCTTTAGTTGGCTTATTGTAACTTTGAATTTGAGACTGGCAAGGGGAGATGGTTTAAGTGGAGACTTGGATTTCTGACCAGAAAATGATTCTCTTCATTTAGGGGAAAAAGCTTACTTCAAAAGCAATACAAAAGAAAATGCATTCCTACTTTGAACTCTGCACTGCATATTATTGTGTAATAGCCTGTAAACAAAGAGCTGACCTCACCCTAAGATATAGAAGGGCTTGTTCATCTGTTGGGAAAATGTTGTAGGCTGTTACATGTATGATATTTCTTTTTCTCTGTTATGTGGTGTGACAGCTTTTTACAGCAAGAGAAAGGGAATAGAAAACCTCCAGACAGTTTTTTGCTCCTTTGGAATTGAGTAATTTGTTCTTTCTACCCCCCCATGTAAGGTTATTGCAGTTCAGTATAATTCTCACTGTTTATTACATCCCATTGTGAATATAAATAGCTCGTTACATCATGCAAACTCCTTGTTTCCCAAGAGCAGCATTCTGGAAAATCCAGCTGGCTTACTTGTTTATAATATGTAAATTTTCTTTGGGTAGATTGGGTGGGTTTTAAAACTGCATGCTGAATCTGGCCCTGATTCCTGACCTTCTGGAAAAAGTTGCTATTAATGTGCTGCATTGTCTACTTCATTCCCAAGCAGTAGCCATGGGCTGACTATTTTCTCTGTCATCTTCAGAAACAAGAGTTGAAATAAAAGAATCTGTCCGCGGTCAAGATATCTTCATTATACAGACAATACCCAGGTAGGTACTTTATGGCTTAATTAAAATCTGGAGTCATTGGAAAGTGCTTTGAATTTCTAGCTCAATGGATTTGTTGTGAGGTTTTTGTATTTACTTGCCACCATAGTAATGTGATGGTGGCATTTTTTTTAAACCAGCACTGTTGCCTTGATGCCCATTTCTGTTGGGAGGGTGTTGTTTAGCTGTCACAATTCCCAGTGTATTAGCTGATTGCACCACAGTCATCTTAAGTATATGACTTCAAGCAACAACAAATACAACTGATGGCTGTGAATGGACATTTCTCTATTCTATTCTGTGCTACCTTGTCTTTGCAGACTGTATGGCTCAGTGATTTTGATTAGCTCTTCCATTTCAGGTTGTGTAATTTCCTCTGCTTTCAAATTACCAAGCAACAATAGGAGCTGTTGCTTTCATTACAGGTTGAATTACTCTTTCCTTTTCCTTTCCCTTTCCTTTCCTTTGATTGTAATGATGTGAAACAGAATTCAAGCTAACTCTTTGCTTCCTGTGTTTCCATGACATTGTACCATTCCATTCTGGCTCTTAGGTAGGCCTTACGGTATTCCTCGTCTGCTGGGTGTACTGACTTTGGGTCAGGAGAGCAAAGAAATACTTGACTTAGAAAACTATCCACTACCCGAGAATCTTGCTTGATTGAACGGTCTGGGAAGGCAATGAGTTGAGTTTGGAGATCTGCACTGATTCTGCTGGTTTCTTGTCAGGTGATTAATGCAATCAGTGAAACTTGGTGCTGGAGTATAAAAAAACTAATTGCGGCCAGTGTTCCCTCTAAGCTGCTTAGCAGCACAGCTTCACAGTAATAATCCCCGCCCAGTCAGAGGCTCAGGGCTCTGTGCAGCTTAGAGAGAACAGCTAGGTCTGATACTATTCTTAGAGGGTTGCAGCTAGGTCTGATACTATTCTTAAAGGTGTCAGGGGAGAATACTGCATGGTTTTTGGCTAGCAAAGAGAAAAAACTCATGAGCTTTCAGGGCTTTGCCTCAACTTTCACATTCTATTATTATTGTACAACTCACCAGCACTCAAGAATAAATTGATAGTGGAATATCTTATGAGCAGAAGCCTTTTTCCAATCTGCTCTGCAAACACAGTCCAAACTAAAAAAGTCCAAACTCATCTCATTCCTAAAGCTTGTCTATATTAACAAAATATCAAAGACAATATAAGATCAGCTTGAATCTTTTCCCCAGGATTTGCCGTTCATACGGTTCCTTTCTCAAAACTATTCAGCATGTACACTAGATCAGTGGTCCCCAACCTTTTGAGGTTGCCGGGCGCCAGGAGGCGTGGCCGTTCGCCTGCCGGGCACCCGGGGGTGGG